GGTCCTGGTTCAATTCCAGTCAAGGGCTCAATCCCCAGTAGGGGGCGTGCAGGAGGCAGTCAATCAATGATTCTCTCTCATCATTGATGTTTCTATCTCTCCCTCTCCCTCTCTGAAATCAATAAAAATACATACTTGTTTTAAAAAATGATGAAGTCAGCCCAGCTGATGTGGCTCAGTGGTTGAGTGTCGACCTATGAACCAGGAGGTCACGGTTCAATTCCTGGTCGAGGCACATGCCCGGGTTTCAGGTTCAATTCCCAATGTGGGACATGCAGGAGGTAGCCAATCAATGATCCTCTCTCATCATTGATTTTCTCTCTCTCCCTCTCCCTTTCTCTGAAATCAATAAAAAAATTTTTTTTAAATGAGAGAACTTTGAACAGACTGAAGCTGAGAGCATGCCTTGAACTGAGGAGTTGGGAGAAAGGAAAGATGTCTATGTACATGTCAGCCTCCACACCCAAAATCCTTGGGGAGTGCCGAGAAATAGCCCACTGGGACAGGCCCAGAGAAGGAGGCGAAGCGTCCCTGGAATACTTCTGGAGGTTGAACCAGATAAAAATAAAATAAGAATAAAAATATTAGAAAGGAGAGGCCAATTTTTAAAATGGCCGACATTAGGTACCCCCATTGTGATGCAGTGGGGGGCTACGCAGCATGGCCTAAATCTGATTAAACTTCTCGTGCTGACGACCAGTTTATAGGGAATTCGATGGGGGTGTGAATGTGCTCACAGCTGTGCATTCCTTCAAATCCAGAGGTGGAGAATGTCCTGTTTCTCATGGCGTTCCCAATCCTGCTCGCACTTCCATAAACTGTCCCTCTATTAAAACAGCCCACAGTCATCCATTTCCTGCGTGCTGTCTGTTTCTCGTGCTTTCTGTTTCTTGCTATGACCCTAACTGATCCAGTATCATTGAGCTGGAGTTTTTCACTTTCATGCAGTCAGTTTTACTAATTTTTGTTTTGTTTTGTTGGTGTTTTGTGCTTTGGAGAACTTATTTATAAAGTCTTTGTGTACCCCTTGGTGAAAATATTCTGACTTCTATTTTTTTTTCCTATTACTTTGATAATTTTACCTTTTATGTTTGGGTCTTGAATCTATCCAGCCCACCTTTGTGTGTTGGAGTTTTTGCATGGAGTTCTTTTTTTCCCATGAAGGGCCAGTTTTCCCAATATCTTTTCTCCACACATTTGAGGTGGCCCGTCATTGCATATTAAGTTTCCACACATGCATAGGTCTGTCTCTGATCTCCCTCTTCCACGCCATTGGCCTATTTGTCTGTTATTGTATAATCGCCATGTGGCTTTTATAAATATGGCTTTGTAATACATTCTAATGTCTTTTTTCCCTTTCTCCCAGTTTTTGCTTTTCCCCCCAAGATTGATTTTTATTTCTTTTATCTATATTTTTTTAAATATACTAAGTTGTTTCTAAAAATCCAACTGAAATTAATATTTTCTTGCGTTGAACTTATGTGTTAATTTGGAAATATTTTTAATATTTTTCTTATCTGCTCTTTCTACATTGAAGTGTTGACAGCTGCCTGCTGCACTGGAGCCTTGTATTAGGTCTAATTATTTGCTGATGGTGCTGATTTTCTGTGCAGATGGTCATAGAGTTTTATCCCTTCCTTTCCAATTCTTACACCTCTGGTGCCTTTTCCTGTCTCAGGCACTTTCGCCAGGATGTCCCGGATGATGTTAAACGGCAGCGGTCATAGCAGCGTGGCAGACCTCTCATTGGCCCCAGCACCCATCCTCCCCTCTTCTCTACACCAGGCGTCACAAACATTCCTGCAAAGGGCCACAGGGCAATATTTGCCAGCTTTGTCGAAACTACCCAACTCTGCTCACAAGGTGAAAGCAGTCATGAGCAATACGTACACAAATGAGCATGGCCGGGTTCCGATAAAACATTGTTTACAAAAACAGGTGAGAGCCACGGTTTGCTGACTTCTGCTCTACTAGTATGTCAACAGAAAGCCTGGATTGTTAGCTGAAATTGGCCATCCAATATAATAAAACCCTAACACGCAAATGGACCGAACGGTGGAACAACCGGTCACTATGATGCGCACTGACCACCAGGGGGCAGGCAGACACTCACCGCAGGTCAGTGTGCTCCCATAGGGGGAGCACCGCTCAGCCAGAAGCCCTGAGCCCAGCTCACGGCTGGCAAGCGCAGTGGCTCTGCGACAGTGCTAAGGATGTCCGGCTGACAGCTTAGGCCCGCTCGCCGTGAGAAGGCGCAGGCCAGGCTGAGGGATCCCCCCGAGTACACAAATTTTGTGCACCAGGCCTCTAGTCTAGAATAAAGAGTGCACTACTCAGCCACATTTTTTCAGCTAACTATGGCCCTGGGACTAGTTCTGATCAAACAGATGTAAGATCATCCAACTTCCAGAAGTGTCCTCAGAGGGAGAGAGAGAGCGTGCCATTCTCCTCTCTTCTCTCTTGCCTGGAATGTGACTGGAGTGGGGCAGACATCTTAAAACGTGATAGAATCCACATGTTGAGGATAACAAAATAGAAGCAGCTGAGATCCTAAAAGATTTTCTCGTAAGTAGGTGTTAAACTTGCTTTGAGTGCTTTCTCTGCATTGTGATTTTTTTTTCTTTTATACTCCATTAATCTAGTCTTCTGCTCTCCCTAAGTCTATTTTATTAATAAATGTGTTCTGGCCCTGGCCAGTTTGGCTCAGTGGACGCTCTATCCACTGAGCCAAACCAGTTTCGGCAGTTTGAGCTTTTCTTATCTACCTGTTCTATTTCTTTTTTTTCTCCTTTCCTGCCTTCCCTTAAATTAACTTTTTTTTTTTCCGTTTTTCCCCTTTCTAAGTTTGGAAGTTATAAACTCTGCTTCTAAGAGAGTAACCTAAAGGTTACAGCGATGGAGGAGAAACTCGGCCTTGACTTGCTGTTTCCGATCTGGAAGGGTTATACCAGTGGTTCTCAACCTTGGCTGCACATTAGAATCACCTGGGAATCTTTTTAAAATCCTGATTTCTGGGGCCTCATCCTCCGGAAATTCTGTTTCTTTGTTACTAATGTTGTGGCCCCACCCCATAACAAAGAAACAGAATTTCCAGAGGATGAGGCCCAGAAATCAGGATTTTAAAAAGACTCCCAGGTGATTCTAACGTGCAGCCAAGGTTGAGAACCACTGTGTTATACGATTAGAGCCTCCATACCTGTCCTCTGACCTTCCTCCTTCCTAAGGTCAGGTGTCTGGTTTCTTTTTTTCTCCTTCATGTTTTTGTTTTGTTTTGTTTTGTTTGGGGGGGGGTCTTTCTGGTTAATCCTCACCCAAGGATATTTTTCCATTGATTTTTTTAAATATATTTTATTGACTTTTTATAGAGAGGAAGGGAGAGGGATAGAGAGTTAGAAACATCGAAGAGAAAGAAACATCGATCAGCTGCCTCCTGCACACCCCGTACTGGGGATGTTGCCCGCAACCAAGGTACATGCCCTTGACCAGAATCGAACCTGGGACCCTTCAGTCCGCAGGCCGACACTCTATCCACTGAGCCAAACCAGTTAGGGCTCCATTGATTTTTTAAGAGAGAGTGGGAGAGACAGACACAGAGAAACATCCATGTGAGAGAGACATATCAATTGGTTGCCTCCCACACACCCTGACCAGGTCCAGGGATGCAGCCTGCAACCAAGTAGGTACACTGGACCGGAATCAATCCCAGGCGCCTTCATCCGAGTGCCAGCGCTCTATCCACTGAGCCAGACTGGCTAGGACCCCTTCATGTTTATTGTTCACCTCTCCAAGAATCAGATTTTAATTGTGTAGGTGGATAAAGCGTTGTCCTGCAGAATAAAGAGTGCACTACTTTATGAAATATATACATTTTCATATCTACATTTTTATATCCTACTTTATTAGTTTTTGCTTTTTAAAAAAACGTCCCTTTCTTCTACTTGGGGGGTTTATTTTTTTTTTGAAGTTTCTCGAGTTAAAACAGCTTATTTCAACTCACCCTTTCTTAACTTTTTTAAATAAATGTGTTGAAGGCTCTGCACAGCTCCTCCTGGCCGCTGGGTTAGACCACCCACACCCCAGTGTGTAGTGCTCTCCTTGTCCATTTCTAATTCACTTGCGTCTACTTTGATTTTCTCTTAAAGTTTATCTAGAAAGTTGGTGAGAAGGCAAATGTGATAGTCCTTTTTGGTTCTACTTGTTTTCAGGTCTAACTGTTTTATTGGGGTCCTTTTTAGAATTAGCTGGGGGCTTGTTTGTGACTAATGGTGAATGTTTGCTGACAAACCCGGAAGTGTCTGAGAGTCGTGGTCTGTTTGTCCTGTTAACCCCTGTCCTGGGTTGTGGATTCTACTTCTCTGGGGCCTTCCCTTCCGTGGGGCTGGCTCCCCTCCTGAGTGGGGTGCTCTTGGTTGGGGCTCAGCTTTGGGTCCCTGCACTGGCCGCCTGTGGCCGCTGCCTCTCTCCACTGTGGTGCTCGCCACAGAGGCCGAGGAGCTTCAGCTGGCGCCTCGGAAGCGCCTGACACACGGGGCGGCCCTGCTGGGGGGGGGGAGGGGGTGGTGAGGGAGGGGGGGTGTTGCTGGAAGGATGGTCCCAGCACAACTCCGTGTTCCAGCTGAGACGCGGAGAGCAGAGTAACTTGCCCTAAATCACACGCCTGTAAATAGCGCATCCCTCCCTCTGGCCCAAAGCCATACCATTCCCACGCTAACCCATTACCACCTGCCCAAGGCTTCCCCGTGCCAGCGTCCGTTCCCCGTTCTTTTTTTTTTCTCTTTGTTTATTGATTTTCTTTAGAGAGAGAGGAAGGGTGAGGAATAGAGAGGTAGGAACATCGATGATGAGGGAGAATCATTGATCGGCTGCCTCCTGCACGGGATTCAAGCCCTGACCTACTGGTTCATAGGTCAACACTCAACCACTGACCCACACCAGCCAAACCCATTCCCCACTGTTAATCGCTCATAATTAGTCAACTCAGACTGTTTCGTATATTTCTCTTTTTACTCAAAAAAAAAAAAAAGTTGACAATAACCTGCAAACCGTAGAGAGTGGCATAGCTCTCAATCTCCCCGCCCTTCCGAACATCCTCTGCATTCCTCGCCACCATCCTCTCCCCTCCCCTACAGCCCAGATGAAAAGCCCCAAGAATGTGCAGGAGGCCCCAGGTAGGAGGATCCCAACGTGAGGAGCCTTCACAGGTGAAGGCATCGCGGAAATAAATTAGGGGAGCGGAGGCTCCTGGGTGGGCCTGCCCAGCTCTGTCTCACAGACCCAGCGGTAGGGCCTCCGGCAGACGTCGTCATTCCAGCGGCCATCGTCTGTGAGGTGGGCACAGTCCTCGCCTCCCCCAAGCCCGTGCCCGGTCCAGTCGTCCGGCTGATCTGGCCTCCAGTTCCTAAGAAGACCAGACAGATTGGGCCCCAGGAGGCCAGGCCCTCAGCCAAGCCGAGGAGCCCTCTTGCCCTGGGACCCGCCAAGCTGGGACAGCAGGGCGCAGGGGAGGGGGGTATAGTGGAGGCCAGTGCAGAGCGCGGAGCACACATACTCACTGAAAGCCCTTCTCGTAGTCTGACCCGTCTATCCATCTCCAGGGCCCGTCTTGGTCGGTGAGGCCCATCCAGGTGTTCACAGGGCCCATGTGGTGCTGGACAAATTTCTGGGGGGAGAGGAGGATGGTGACCGCTCCATAGAACAGACAGACTCCCCGAGGAGCCCTCCGGAGCCCTCACCTGCTCCTCCGAGGAGCCGACCACCACCAGGTGCCCATTCTCCAGCTGGCAGTACTTCTCAGCCTCGGGCCAGGGCTTCGCCGTTCGAGAGAACCAATAGCAGCTGCCTTCATGCTCCACCCAGTTAATGGGGCAGCAGTTCTTCTCAGAGCCTGGGGGTGGGGGTAGGGGGTGCAGAGGGAGGGTGAGAGGCTGAGCTGCTGCCAGGAGGGGAAGTAGGCCTGAAAGTGGGGCTGGGCATCCCTGCCTCCTCACCATTGCCCTGGAGGATGGCCAGCTGACAGCTCAGGCTTCGTATGTCAGACACAAAGGTCTTCACGTGGAACAGCAAGCTGGAGTGATCTGGGGGGACAGAGGGCGGGGGGAGGGGGGAGAGTGAGGAGGGAAGAGGTCGGTGTAAATTCCGTGTGCAGGGCGGAAGATCAGTCACAGGTGCCCCTGCCACAGGACCCCTTGGTTTGATGGAGAGAGAAAGTTTCTGTCAATAAAACGTTTGAGACTTGCAGGGCGAAGGGGAGGGGAATTTGTTGTCAAGGCTCCTTGGTTTGGCCCAGCCGGTGTGGCTCAGTGGTTGAGCGTTGACCTACAAACCAAGAGGTCACAGTTTGATTCCCCAGCCAGTAGGTGTGCAGGAGGCAGCCAATCAATGATTCTCATCATTGATGTTTCTACCTCTCTCCCTCTCCCTTCCTCTCTAAAATCAATAAAAATACATTCTTTTAAATATATTTTATTGATTTTTTACAGAGAGGAAGGGAGAGGAATAGAGAGTTAGAAACATCGATGAGAGAGAAACATCACATCGATCAGCTGCCTCCTGCACGTCTCCTACTGGGGATGTGCCTGCAACCCAGGTACATGCCCTTGACTGGAATCGAACCTGGGACCCTTCAGTCCGCAGGCCGACGCTCTGTCCACTGAGCCAAATCGGTCAGGGCGATAAAAATACATTTAATTTAAAAAAAAGAAGAAGAAGAAAGAAAGACCCCTCGGTTCGGCCTGAGAGACGCCCTGTGTTCCACACGTGGCCCAGCACACGGCTCCCTCTCCCACCTTGACTCAGGTCCTGCTGCTGTTTCTCCAGTTGGGACTCCAAGGACTTCATCTTCCTGCCCACACCTCCTCCTGGGGGAGACACTTGCTCAATGTCCCGACACCCCTAGCGTCCCACAGCCCCCCTCACCCTCAGCCTCAGCCCCCTCACCCTCAGCCCCAGCCCCCTCACCCTCAGCCCCAGCCCCCCTCACCCTCAGCCCCAGCCCCCTCACCCTCAGCCCCAGCCCCCTCACCCTCAGCCCCAGCCCCCCTCACCCTGGATGCGCAGGTCCTTGACCTCGGCCTCTGTGCTCACGGTGAAGTTGCTGAGCGTCTCTCTCAGGGCCCGCAGCTCCTCCTTCAGCGTGGAGTCTGGACAGGAGGTGTGAGTTAGACAAAAAGAAGAGGGCTGTGTCCCCCATCAGGGCTCCCAGCACTGCCCCCACCACTGCTCCCACCACCACCCCCCCCCCAGCATTGCTCCCTTCCCCGCCCACCCCTGGGCACCCACTCTGGGATCCGATCACACAGACAACCACCAGCAGCAGGAGGCTGAGGCCCAGGGAGAGCAGGAGGAGGCGGGGTCCGGAGCAGAGCCGTTGGAAGAGTGGCCGGGGAGGAGGCGGCCCTGCGAGAGGAGAGGGTCTCAGGGTCGCGGCAGAGTCTGGGGTCCGGGGAGGAGAGCCGGCTAAGGCCCCTCTCGTAGGCTCAGGGGAATCACATAGAGTAAGAAGCAGGAGCGTGTCCTGGCCAGAGCGGCTCCGTTGGTTGGAGCGTCTCCCCTACACCACAAGGTCAGGGTTCCATTCTCAGCCAGGGCACATACCCAGGGTGCTGGTTCGGGCACATGCACTTATGTTTCTCTCTCTCCCTCTCCCTTCCTCTCTCTCTAAAATCAACAAAAGCACCAGCTGCATGGCTCAGTGGTTGAGCATCGATTGACCTATGAACCAGGAGGTCACATTTCAATACCCAGTTAAGGCACATGCCCAGGTTGTGACCTCCATCCCCAGTGGGGGTGTGCAGGAGGCAGCCGATCAATGATTCATCAATGATTCTCTCATCGTTGATGTTTCTATCTCTCTCTCCCTCTCCCTTCCTATCTGAAATCAATAAAAATATTTTTAATAAATAAATAAAAGCATGTTCTCAGGTGAAGATTTTTTAAAAAGAAGAAGAAGAAGAAGAAGAAGAAGAAGAAGAAATATGGGCAGTGGGTGATTGAGAGGCCAGAGGCCTCTGGAGGTGGGAAGGGAAGAGGCTGCAGATGGAAGCAAAGCTTTGAGCTGCCCGAGCCCTGCCCGGGCCCTGGGCTGTGGCTGACACCTAGTGGCCTGACTGTGTCAGTGCAGCTGGTGAACCTCTTCAGAGCCGTGAGGATGGAGTTTGTGCGCTGGAGACCAGCTGGGGAACCAGGGCTCCTCCCTGAAGGTGGGGCAAGAGGCAGAGGTTTCTTCCTCCCTCCAGGGGTCCCACCGCTCTGGCTGGGGGCAGGCTGGGGGCCGGAGGAGAAGGGGGGGAAGCCAGACTTCAGGTCCCTCAAGTTGCTCCCACCAGGCAGCCCTGTTCCAGTGAGCTGGGGTGTGGGAGGCCTCCCCTCCATTCTCGTCCCCCCTTACCCCCTTTCCCCATCAAAGGGCACTGCCCACTCCCACGCCCCAGGAGCTGGATCCTCGCTCAGCCCCAACCGCGTTCCTGCTCACGTGAGAAAAAATGGGGGTCTTTTTATTATTGTTGTTGTTGATGATTTTTAGATAGAGAGGGGGAAAAATCAATGTGACAGAGAAACATCAATCAGTTGCCTCCTATATGTACCCCGACTGGGGATCCTGCGGACTAAAGAGTCCCAGGTTCGATTCCGGTCAAGGGCATGTACCTGGGTTGTGGGCACATGCCCAGTTTGGGGTGTGCAGGAGGCAGCTGATCGATGTTTCTCTCTCATCGATGTTTCTAACTCTATCCAATGCTCTATCCAATGCTCTATCCACTGAGCGAAACTGGTTAGGGGTCTTCACAGAACTCTTATCCCCTGACCAAACTGATCACACACACACACACACACACACACACACACACAGCTCACTGGTGTTGAAAGAGGAAAGGAGGAGGGGCCTAACTTCTTTCAATACCGCCACACTCATGGGCCCACTCCTATATGTACCCCGACTGGGGATCCTGCAACCTAGCTATGTGCCCTGAGGGGAATCGAACCTGTGACCATGGTGCTCCGACTGAGCCACACTGACCAGGGCGCGGGGTCTGTTTTTTATGTAGGAGGGCCTCATCCTCCCTCAGATCAGAGACCCCTCAGCCTCTTCACAGAACTCTTTTTTTAATATATTTTATTGATTTTTTACAGAGAGGAAGGGAGAGGGATAGAGAGTTAGAAACATCGATGAGAGAGAAACATCACATCGATCAGCTGCCTCCTGCACGTCCCCTACTGGGGATGAGCCTGCAACCAAGGTACATGCCCTTGACCGGAATCGAACCTGGGACTCTTCAGTCCGCAGGCCGACGCTCTATCCACTGAGCCAAACTGGTTAGGGGTCTTCACAGAACTCTTATCCCCTGACCAAACTGATCACACACACACACACACACACACACACACACACACACACACACAGCTCACTGGTGTTGAAAGAGGAAAGGAGGAGGGGCCTAACTTCTTTCATTACCGCCACACTCATGGGCCCACCCCCTCCCCAAGGCCCTGAGAAGCGGGTGGCATGGCAAGGGTCAAGGGTACCCTCCCCAAGACAGAGCTCCAGCCCCACACCCCACACCCCCACCTCCCCTTAGAGGGCAGCTCAGGCGCTCGCTATGTTCTCGTGACAGGGGCAGACCAGAGGCAGAGGCAGGGGCATAGAAAGAAGCCGGAGCCTAAAGCTCGCCCTTCCGAAATAGCGGCGTCCCTCACCTCGTCTGATCTGATGGTCATTCTCCTCGTTGTCCAGGTGCTGAAGATCCTGATAATCCTTGGTCATGGTGGGGCTGGCTGGACCCCGGACTGAGTCAAGGCTGAAGTGAGGGTTGAGATTGGGACTGAACCGAGTTGGGGTATGGAGTCCTTTCCCTTCCTAAGTGACCCGTGGCTATGTGCAGACCTTCCTTCTTTCCCTCATTCCATCCCGGGCCTGTCCCCACTGGAGCGTTCCCGGAATGGAACCCCTCCCGCTCCTTGCCCAGGTCGAGTTTCTATAGCCGAGCCAAGCGGTCAGGGAGGAACAGGAGTCATTTATTGCACTGGTGTCAAGTGTGCAGTTCCCAGTTACCGGACAAAATTGTTAGTTAATACATAGCTGCGAAACTATTGGTAGTTATTAATTTTTTCCTAAAGTCTTATCAGAAAGAAGGAGCACAAAGGGCCCGCGGCGCAAAAACCCGGACTGCCCCAGGTCTCACAATATCGTGTATCTTGGGACGTAGCATTGCACAATACCAGCTGAGACGAGGTGGAGATCCGCATGGAGAAGCCCCAGGACTG